ACAATCTTACATAACAAATCATATTATCTTCTTTATCTGAAGTGAATAAATTATACTTTCTTTATTCTACTGATAAGTTCAGATTATGCGTTATTAATCATGTCAACAATCTGGCATATAACTTCTACATTTGAGAAAGGTATTAAATCCTCCTTAGATAACTTTTCACTGAAAGGTATATGCTTAGATAATTTTTCACTAAACATAGTTTTAATTACATCTTTTGAAAACAGAAGTATTAAAAGCTCACTCAGAGAATGGGGTGTTCCAGAATTTTGCAATGTAAAGACTCACAACAGATTAAGCTTTTAAGCTTTTAAGCTTTAAGGCCTTTTTAATTGCAGAACCCATATTAGAGAAGCCATATTAGAGAAGCTTTTAACCATAAGCTTTTAAGGCCTTTTTAATTGCAGAACCCATATTAGAGACAACTTTGATTTCTTTACTCAGTTTAACACACTACAGGAAAAATTTGATAGGTTTGCTTTTTACACAAGCATGTCTCATCTCTAAATGCTTTCTCATAGATTTTATACACTTGATTACAAGTATTTTGTAACACATAACACAATAAGGTTATGGTTCACTCTCATTGCCACACCAAGAAAATCTCAATTCCAAATAACTCTCGTCATATTTATTTAAAGAAAAAAAGAAAAGAGAGAGAGATATGAGTACTATTAGGAATTTCTTTAATGGCATTGGCAGCACTAATATTTGTATCATAATAATCTACAGATTCTGCATTATCAGCACTGCTTAACTGAAAGACATGAATGCATTCCTTTCTTTTCAAAAATATAGTTTAAAGCCAGTTTCCTATTATGCATACTAGACATTATGTGACAGAGAGAACTGTTAATGCCTATCACATAAGAAGGATTTCAAACAACTACACAACTATTGGATTAATAGACAATCGATGAATCAGCAACAAGTATAATTTCTTATACATCACTTGTGACTGACTACAAAAAATACATTGCCAGATGTGCAACAAAAGGAGGGCAAGAAGCATCACAGTCGATGAGCAGTAATAGATTTCCTAAAATGCTAATACTGAAGAAAAAACTGATAGACCAACATGTGTAATTTCCAAACACTCAAAATTTTCAGCTATAGTGTGGTGTCAATTAAGTAAAATTTCATCTTTTATCTTTTTTTAGAAATCTAGAAGGATTACAAGGGCAAGCTTCGAAGACTTCAGATTAAGAAAAGTTGATTTACTCTCTTATATAACAAATAACAGACAGAGTGGATGGATAGTAACTTACAGAAAACTGCTAATAAATGTAATCAATATTGTCAACAAACATAAAACATGTTTTGTTTAATAGTAAGAATGGAAGACTAAGGTATTTTTCATTCTTTAAGCATAACATTTTTCTTAAAATCTATATTTTTGTAGTTCAACAGCTTAGAATTTTATAAAACAAATTCATAATCAAAATCGCTGTTGTTAGTTATCAAAAATACCAAGACGTGGTTTTTTTGCATAAATGTCACTAAACTATACAAATTTGCTATTATCCTCACACTATGAATGTTTCTTTCATGCGAAAGTGTCCCTTTTTCGATTTGTATGAAACTGCCGTGTGTCGAAATACTATCATAACCCTGTCAAGCGAGCTTCTGAATGTAAACAAAGAACACCCCATCTGGTGACCCAAGCTTCAAAACAGTGCTTCACTTCTAGTGCCGGTTGGCCCCTCCTTCCTTTCCTACCTCCATGAAATAAATGGGGGGGAGGAACTCATTCAAACTGGGATGTGTTGATCAGAGCATTCTGAATGCGACTGCACAATAAATTTTCTACCTTCCCCACCCTTAAGAAACTGCAAGATGTTGAATCAAGATTCGATACAATTCTTTCATATAAATTAAGTTGACCAAGTTCCAGAAATTACTTATTGAATTATTCTCATATACCGAGAGCAAAGTATGGTAACACAGGAATTTACACGAGAGATGAGGTCATTAAGATTATGGAAAGTGAACATGAGGGACCAAATATCATTTAACAATCTGATTAAATACAGCTAAGCCTTCACTAGGTCCCAAATAAGAAACATTCCACAACCTGAAAGCAAGTCAGCATAATATTGGTAATCTTATTGGTAAACTTGCATCTTGTCAATAGTGGTCCCTTATGACTAAGGAACTTTCAGAGAGTTACTTTTCATCCACCCTGCTGCTATGTTCTTAACTAGTAAGCAATAAATTAAATTACAATTTACTAAAAAAAGATTACAAAAATATAACTTACTATAAACAAAAATAATTTTAACTAATGGCTGCCCAAATTGCTAAGAATCAGACAGTATTCAGACATTAACTATAATAATGCAATAAAAATAGTGTTAAGCACTACACTATAAATTATTTTTACATTTTATAAGGTATTTTCACCCTCCTTTCTGCATGCCTTCCTGGTGTAATGGTAGCACATTCGGCACGTATTCGAGAGGTCCAGGTTCGAGTCCCAACAAGGGCATTGCTCAATTTTCATGTCTCCAGCAACTTCAGCAGCAAATCTCTACTGTGGCATCCAAATTAAAAGTTGGTGGAAGATGATTCTTCTTCACCAGGATTTAGCGATTGGGTGTACGTAATTCCCAGTCGCCCTCTAAAAGGGGGAGTACATAAGGTATTTTCTCCCTCCTTTCTGTATGCCTTCGTGATGTAATGGTAGCACACTTGGCACATATTTGAGAGTCCAGGTTCGAGTCCTGATCAGGACATTGCTCATTTTTCATGTTTCCTACTTTAAAAATTTTAATGACTCTACAGCTTAAAATGAAAATATAGACCAGACTTTTCTCAGCACATGATTTGATCATAAAAGTAATTCTTAGCATTCTTTCGAAGATAAAACTGAAGCCAATTTATATCTTCAATAAATACAATTTTTAACAAATATTTTAATATGTTTTCATCAAAATTAAAATAAACAATTAAAAACATTATGATAAATCTTCAGTTGATTAAAAAACTAATACTCATTATCAAATTCATGAATTATTGTGCACATTTTGGATGAAAAGAACAAAAGTTGATAGATAAGCATGTGCACATATTGGCATGTTTTAGGTATGCAACAGAAGCAATAAAATTTATTTTTTTTAAATTATTAGTTATAAAGCTTTTATTTTTAAGAATAACTTAAAAAATCATAGATTTCAGGCTGTTTTACATTCTAAATTATATATATATACAACCATTTCAGATACTGAATTCCTTTTTCATTAAGTGTGATGCCTGAAAAGGAAAACCTTTTTCCATTTATTATGCTTTCTTAGACCATACACAGAAACTAAGAAGTGAAACTTACTAATTAACTATAAAGAAGCACATGTTGGTTATGGTTACAGCATATACATATGATTTTCTAAAGAAAATTAGCCCAGGATCAAGCAATACAGAAATTCACATTTAAAAAGAACATTGTAAATCATAATTCTAACTAATTTTCTATAATTCTTTAACTCTCCATTTATATTTTGCTATTTTTCCTCTCTGTCCTAAAAACTGTAACTGCTTAGAATAAATTTATCTAAACTGCATCAGTTCCTCACATAGTGTTTACATAATGTTAACAATGCAGGTCCTTACATAACACTTCAGCAAATAATAATTTCAAATTTAGGAACTGAAAATTAAAATTAATCTATGAAAATGAAGTAGAATCAAAACTCAATTATTCTGAACCAGATTTTGATCTTGGACAAATCGTATTCTCTTTTTCTCTTTTCTGTTGTCAACTCACTTACAGCTCTTTTAGTAATTACAGTTAATTGTGAAAAAGATGAAGAAAAAATAAAAAACACATATATAATATATATACATACGGTAAAGACTATTAAGAAAGACTGGTAACTGCTGAATGCCGACTACATGAAAATTCTGCATAGGTGAGCATATATATTATGAATGCAATTCATGGTAGAACAGACAAATGACTGGAGGAAAAAATTCCAAGTCTAAATTTATAAAAAATGTCCAATTATTTGTTATCAGTTTGAATATCAATAGCTGACATTTAACATTATGTAAAATTTGAAAGATGCATTTCAGACATAAAAAACGACATATTTTTCTAGGCTTTAAAAATATATGAAAGTAAAACATCTTAGTCGATTATAAAATTCTATCGATCGTGAAAGCTGCCACAGATGATGCCAAATTTGCTATAAACATTCTAGCAAAAATTTGAAAGATCTGAACGCATTTTATTTAGGTAGCAGTCTTGCAACACGAAATACAAGTTCACAATATATCATATTAAAAAAATTAAACTGCCTATGAGTAGTAGAGATAGTGCTTGTTTATTTGGAATCACAGTTCAACATATGCCTTATGTTGGCTTTACACTTTTTTCCTCATTTGCTTAAACTTTTGTGTTTTTTTTAAAATAAAATAATAATAAAAAATTCTAAAATTTTAAAATGTTCTGGTTATTTGAGCTTACTAGTAAATAACTGAACACTTGAATCAAGCTTTTACTTGTATTGTGTATGCATGTTATTACACATTACATATTTTTTAATTTTGTATTTTCTCTTAATTGAAATATGTCCCTGCACTGGACAATATTAACAAAGTTGAATTCTAATAGCAAACACATACACATATAGGGAAATACATATAAACTTTAAGTTATATTAACTATTAGCAAGATAAAGATTTCTATTTTCTTTTAAATAGTCTAGAATAACTGATTTGTAATATTGCTTCTCTCAATTCTTTATAATAAATTCTCTGGGAGATATCACTTTAAAGTTCAATTTACTAATTATAATATCTATACCTTATATAAAAGACAGCATTTCTGATACAGAAAAACAAGATAAAAAATACTTCAAAATTTGGGTCATTTTAAAACCATTAACTTTGATGCCATTAATGATTCCCCTAATCATTATTATTTACTTTGTCCTTTTAAGAACAACACTCATAGTCATTGTAATATATATTTTCATAATCCAGTAAAAATTACATACCAGCTGAAGTATGATCCTTATGTATTTGAAAGGGCAAAGTTAGCTTCCTCATATCAAATGAATATAAACTGCAGGAGAAAAGAAGAGAAGAGTACTTAGTAAAATATTTGTGATAAATACAAAAATTTAACAGGCATGTAAGATAAAAAATATGTAAATCAAAATTCTAACTTCAATTTTCAACAACCTAACTCTTCATTTTAATTTATGTATTTCAGTTTTCTATTCTAAAAGTAGTAACTGCTTATAATGAACTTCTTTGGCTGAATCGTTTCAAGATTATATCATATAATTTTTAACACAACATTCTGGTGATATAATTGCTTTTGTGGACTGAAACTCACTCAGCCAATGACAACTTTTTAAATTATTAATTAGCCAATCAAAATGTATTGAAATCTAGACTAAATTACTCTAGATGCTAGCAACAGCTGTTAACGCTTGCACTCTTAACACCCTAAGCGGCAAGGCCGTATATGTATATATATGACCTAGAATAATTTTTGTGATGTCTGTAAGAACGTATATATAAGTGCATATTAAAATATGTCAAAGTAATATTAAGGCAATATATCAAAAGAAAAGCAATCCAGGTATGAAATACCATCAGAGTTTTTACTTTAAAATCAAAAAATAATTTGTTCTCATAGTAGTTTTGGGAAATTCGTGCTTTCTTAGCGAAAACCCTGGCTGCTCGAAGTGTTAAAAAATATAACAAATTCTGAAGCAGGCTCAGCTACTGAGCCACAATTATTTATTTTGGCTTATTAGAATGTTTGGTCAACAAAATGAAATATTTAAATTTGCCATGACAGCAAGCAGTTTCTTTATGAATCCAGAAAGTATCAGTATGATTTCAAGTATTTCTATAACATGCTTCAACATCTGTATCCTCAGTGACAATATTTTCAGGTTATTGTAACATTTTTCAGCTATATACACTCATATATATATATAGGAAGAGATATTTGAAAAATATCTTATATGCTATATTTGCTAGCCTTTAACTCTACTAATATTTCACAAACTTAGAGAAATAAACATCATTTTTGTTTTGGTATTTCAGCCCAGAAGTGACTGTAATTGAGCTGAAATACAAAGAAAGCAATTTAAAACCTGTAACTATCCATCAGCTACTACAGTCAAAAGTCGTTAATTCGGACACCCATAATTCGGAATGATCTATAATCCGGACCTCAAAGCTAAAAACTTTCTGCTCATGCTCCGCGTTGACACATGCGCATAGGCGTTTACGCATGCACGTAAGACCTCTTACGACTGCGCATTTGCGTGTGCGCAAGCGCAGAATACGTTTTCACGTGCGCGTTTTATGTATAACGGACGGTGTAAGCTAAAATTATCTAATTATCTATTTCAGTTAATGTTGATGATTGCATTGTTCCTTAATCTTCGAATTGGATCCAGCTTATTTTTTGCAGACTGTAAGAGCAATTTTATAAAAGTAAACTTGAACTTTCGATTATGTCAAATAGAATTTTTGATTCTGGAGCTCCCAAAGGATCGTACAAAACGAAAGTATGTTTCGATGTCCATCAAACAAAAAGTGGAATTGCTGCAAAAAATGGATAAAGACATGAAGAATGTGACAGAGAGGTTAGTGAAAATGAAAAAATTTGACAAGTTAGTCGGTATTCTCGGCACAGCAATTAACAGGACTTGAACAGCGGAACTTTGTAAGTGAACAAAAAATTACGTCTGTTTATAGAATTAAAGAGAAAGTATTATCACATAAAACTAAACAACTAACATTGAAAGAAATGTTTAATAAAGTAAACAAATAAATATTAAGCTTTTTTTTTTTTTTGTAAATTTTGATACCCTATAGATCATAATTGTTCTTTATTTCATAAATTACAGTTTCATATTTTTAATTTTAGAATTTCTGCATGCCATCTTACGCGATTTAAACTGATGATCTATAATCCGGAAAAATCAATAATCCGGAATCGCCGAAGTCCCGACGAGTCCGGATTAACGACTTTTGACTGTATTAGACAGTCATTGTAAATTTAACTGTACGAAGTAACATTTAAACTTCTCAACAACATTCAGACAAGATGATATGTGAATGATAATTTTCCCCCCCTTTTTCTATCATTTCTAATAACTTTTTTTTTATTATTTAACAATTGCATAGATTATGTTTTGGGAGATGGGACTTTAAAAACGGTAGTTTTTTTAGAACTAAATTCAACATCAGACTGGCATCTGTTTCAGTGAAAAACTCTTTACGTTTACTTCAGTTAATAATTAAATGTTTAATCCTTTCCGGCACGCTACCTTTTAAAATCGGAGTTTTGATAAAAAAAAAAAAAAAAAAAAAAGGTAGGAGTCTAATTAGGCCTAGAGGAGTACACAAGTAAAATTTTGTGAAGATAGCACTTATCTTTTAATTTTGTGGGTGTGCCCAAAGTGGCACACAGCACACTGATTGAATAGAGCATCAAAAAGAGCGCTGAAACGAGCACTGTTTTGTCAATAAACTGACCGATGAGATGCAGAGAAACAAAGAATACAGACTCTGAATTGTCTTAGATTATTTGTGAGCCCAGTCTAAACACACCTAGGGTTTGCCATTTGATTTTAGGCAAGATTTCAAGGTAAAAATTTAAAACCAATACACAATAAGAGATTTAAATTTTGAAATTTAACTAATCATTGAGGAAATCAAGAAAATTGGAAAGCTATCCATACTTGTAATCTTCAGAAGCAGACACAAAAACAAAAGCTTCCATTGGATTCCAGGATATGGCATTACTACACATTTCTAACACAACCTAAAATAAAAAAACATTATAGTAAAAGAAATGCATATATTATAAAGGTTCTATGCATTTTCAGCAAAATGTTTTCAATATAATACCAACGAAATATATTTTATGAGCTACCAACATTAATTAATATACATATATATATTTCAATATAATACCAACAAAATATATTTTATGAGCTACCAACATTAATTAATATACATATATATATATTTGCATTATATATATATAAAGATACAGAAAATGTTGATTCCATAGATGAGAGATGTTTACCCACAATGAACTGCAAGCTTAGCAGATGGGGATAATTAAATATTCATTTTTATTTCAGTTGACATTTGCAGACACAAATACTTGGCACATTAATTGTGCCTAATTAAAAAAATTTTCATTTTTGATAGCACTGCAGTGAGAAGCAAGAAGCGGCAGTCTACCTTCGCTGAAGAGCAGAAGCAGATTTGTAATTAACTGATATGGAAGCTTGTTAAAAGAAAGGTTTCGTTTCACAAAATGTTGAGTTCCAAATTAGCTACATCAGCATCTCTATGAAAAGTCATATGATATTAATTAATTTCAAAATAACGTAATTCAGGAGAAATTATTAAGAAATTGCTATAACAGAGGGCGGAAATGCTAAAATTAAAATGACAAATTAAGAGGCTACTGCTAATTGAAGTTATAATTTTTACTTATATACCCTCCCTTGAAAAAGAAAAAGACTTAGTAATGCAAAAGCCTTTTTAAGAGATGAAGTGTTAAAACGAACAAAAACATGATTTGAAAAATATAAATAATAAAATTTAGACCAAAATAATTATTTTAATTATTATAAAATATATCTATTTTAATAATATTTTAGGGTCTTATTAAAATTTCCAAAAGTCTTTGTCTTTTAGAGTCTACATAATTATATTTATATAGGGAAGGCTTTTCAAAACTTTTCACACAATATCACAGTTACATATCAAAAAAATAATTTTTAACATCTTTACACAAAACTGGAAGACCACACAGCTTTCTCCAAGTACAAACATTTTCCCTCTATTAGGCATAGCCAATTGAACTATCTGATGTATTAATATTCATCAGTGGTTAACACGTTGACTGCCATGGGGGTCACAGGTGACCAGCACTCGACTTGGCTACAGCGCCATGGGGGCCATTGGGCAAACCATCGAAAATGCATCTGGAAGTCAATGTGTTAAAGGTTGCTGAACAGTTACTCATATTCTTTTCTATACCTGGAAAGTACTAGGTGAGATTTTTCATCTGTTGACTTTAAGTGAACTATTTGTTTTGCTCCTTTCGCACAAACTGTTTTATTTCCTATCATATCTAACATGTTTCCAGTATGTGAAAGTATGTTTTTTTTCTTTCTTAGGTCAATAACGTATTCCTGCAAACTTATCCATTTACAGTGCAAATCTTTCACAAACCTCTGCAAAATTTTTCTTTAGAACTAAATTATTTTGTGCCATCAATCAACTACAGCTCTCTCTCTCTCTATATATATATATAAATTCTATTACATGAAAAAATAAAAATAATTCTATATTAAAAATTGTATTTCATAAGGAAGCCTTCAAAGTTTATGGTGATATTGACAGAATTTGCAAATTATGTCTATTTTTGCAAGAAGTATTGAACCAAAATGTTATAATTATGCCACCGAGGAATTCTGCAAATTTTCAGAATAAAATATGTAATTGTACATGCATATGTGTGTTCAGCTGTGACTGTAGAGGAGATATAAGCATATGCAAGGTTTTCTACAATTTGTGCGCTTGTACTCCTTTCCACAAGCGTTGTATAAATTTTAAAAGGTATCAGGTAAAATGAGCAGCCATAAACATATGAATGACGAAATGAGATGGATACAAAATATACAATGGATCTCAAACAATTACTAAAAGATTTCATTAAATTATCCTCATTTTCTGAAAGTTAAAATGTTGGCCAAATGGGCAAAACGCATGTCTGTGAATACTAAAAATGTCATTCTTAGCGAAAAATTAAGAATTTATTGTTACTAAGGGACAAAAAAATTTCTTATCTGTCACTGAAGGCTAAAAATCACACTATTACCAGTAGAATAAAATAACATGAATTTTTTTTTTAATTTCAAAAGTATAAGTTGTTGAATTAAATCACAAACTAAAAACTTCCTGCATAAGAGACCAAAATTCGAAATTTTTAAGATGAATGAAGAAGCTGTGAATGTTTCAGTAACTTCTATTTCTTTTATGCCTATGCATTATTTTAACACTGTAGATTTATCTTACTCTAGTTCAGCCACTGCTTGCAAAATCTTGTAGTGAATTTTACGTAGTGCATTAATTCATGTACTGAATTGCTTGAAGGATGGTAAAAAAAGATGTAAACTTCAATACATAATAAATCAATGTCTTCATATTTTTAATGCTTTAAGTTCAATAACTTTCTCTTTTGTTATTAGCTAACAAAAAATGTCACGCAGGTTGTATTGGGCACACAACAATTCTGACTGCTATCAATAACTTATACTGACTAAAAATGACTTGAACCGGTGGTTTTAATGCTCACAAAACATTATGAATTTCAATATATCATTCACACTATCACAACAAATAAATAAAACTTACATAAAATATATTGAATACAATTGAAAAAAAAATACCTTTCTTAGAGGGCAAGCTTCCCTCACATCATATAAAATAATACTACGGTCACTACAAGTACTACCCAAAATGTTAGTCTGGAAAATAAACAAATCAAAATAATTTGATTACAGATTTTAGATGATTAAGTTACACAAAAAAACTAAACAAATTATATACAGTCAAAAGTCATTAATTTGGACACCCATAATCCGGACCTCAAAGCTACAAACTTTCTGCGCATGCGTCGCATTCACGCATGCACATAGGCGTTTACGAGTGCGCATAAGACCTTTACGGCTGCGAATATGTGTGTACGCATGCGCGTTTAACGAGTAACGGACGGTATAAGCTAAGCTAAAATTATCTAATTCAGTTAATGTTGCAGATTGTTCCTTGTTGTCCCTTAATCTTCGAATTGGATCCAGCTTATTATTTTTTGCAGACTGCTAGAGCAATTTTATAAAAGTAAGCTTGAACTTTCGATTATGTCAAATAGAATTTCCGATATATATTTACTAATATGTAAAGGATCTACAAAGCGAAAGTATGTTTCGAAATCCGAAATCTGTTTATCAATTTCACGCCACGGCGCGCAATGAATTGGAAGTTGATCTGTCAGCACTATCCTTATCTTCAGGGCAGATGTTTTATTTGGCTTATAATTCGTTACTAAATGTAGTATTTCATCTCGATGTACTTCGTCTTTGATATGATTTAAATCAAGTTCCTCGTCATTATAATTTGCTTATGATAGTGAAGAAAGTGACCCAGAGGTTATTGAAAACGAAAAAATTTCGATTGACAAATTAGTTGGTATTCTCAGCACAGCAATTATAGGACTTCAACAGCGGAACTTTGTAACTAAACAAGAAATTATGTCTGTTTAATAGAATTAAAGAGAAAGTATTATCACATGAAACGAAGCAACTTAAACAACTTACATTGAAAGAAATGTTTAATAAAGTAAACACATAAATATTAAGCTTTTTCTTTTTGTAAATTTTGATATCCTTTAGATCGTAATTGTTCTTTATTTTATAAATTACGTTTTCATATTTTTAATTTTTTAATTTCTGCATACAATCTTAAAAGATTTAAACTGATGATCTATAATCCGGAAAAATCAAAAATCCGGAATCGCCGAAGTCCCGACGAGTCCGGATTAATGACTTTTGACTGTATTAATGTAAGTTACAAACATTTATTAATATTACACAAAAATCAAAGCACAGACCATCCAAAAAATTAGTTTTAATATTTAAAGTACAGAAGAAATTAAGACTGATTATTTATCATGTAGTTTCCATAATTTACTTGAAAATATGCTTCTAAAAACATTAACTGCTACTAAAATTTGCTACTAAAGAAAGTACCTACTTACAGGTATTAATCGTTTTAAAAAATCTGATGTGGATGCCATATTACTTTCTTGTGTAACTTATTGAATTATACACATTTTTTCTATTTTTCGAATCATTCTAACTTTATTAACCGATCCCTCAAGATAAATTGAAAATAACATCAAAAATTGCAAATTTTGAAATGCAAAATATTTATTTCAAATACACATTATTTCAAAAATATTGAAAGCCATTTTAGAGAACATTTACATTTTCATTCAATAAAAGTACGTTACTTTCTCATTCCATTCACTCAAAATTTAATTTCTTTGCTTTACCTTTTCATAGCAATATATATTATTTCCACGTACTTAAGCAAATACAGTCAAAAGTCGTTAATCCGGACTCGTCGGGACTTCGGCCATTCTGGATTATAGATCATCAGTTTAAATCTGGTAAGATGGCATGCAGAAATTATAAAATTAAAAATATGAAACCGTAATTTATGAAATAAAGAACAATTATGTTCTAAAGGGTATCAAAATTTACAAAAAAAAAAAAAAAAAAAAAAAAAAAAAAAGGCTTAATATTTATTTGTTTACTTTATTAAACATTTCTTTCAATGTAAGTTGTTTAAGTTGCTTTGTTTTATGTGATAATACTTTCTCTTTAATTCTAAAAACAGACATAATTTCTTGTTCAGTTATAGAATTCCGCTGTTCAAGTCCTATAATTGCTGTGTCGAGAATACCGACTGATTTGTCAATCGAAATTTTTTCGTTTTCAATAACTTCTGTATCACTTTCTTCACTATCGGAAGCAAATTATAATGACAAGGAATTTGTTTTAAATCATATCAAAGACGGAACACATCGAGATGAAAATAAGGATACTGCTGACAGATCAACTTTGAAAATCAATAAATTGCGCGCCGCGGCATCCCCCCCCACCGCAGAGCTGCGTGAAATTGATAAACAGATTTCGGAATGGTTAGGTCATTTTTTGCAGCAATTCCACTTTTGTTTAATGGACTTTGAAACATACTTTCGCTTTGTAGATCCTTTACATATAAGTAAATATATATTGAAAATTCTATTTGACATAATCGAAAGTTCAAACTTACTTTTATAAAATTGCTCTAACAGTCCCCAAAAAATAATAAGCCGGATCCAATTCGAAGATTAATTAACAACGCAATCTGCAACATTAACTGAATTAGATAATTTTAGCTTAGCTTATACCACCCGTTATACATGCAAAAACGTATTTTGCGCATGCGGACGCGCATATTCGCAGCCGTAAAGATATACGCGCATGCGCAGAAAGTTTGTATCTTTGAGGTCCGGATTATAGATCATTCCAGATTATGGGTGTCCAAATTAACAACTTTTGACTGTATAGCATTAACACCTGAATATTATTATCTTATGTCCTTTTTAATAGTGGCAAAATCTTTTAATTACCTCAGAAGTGAAATTTGTTTTAAGAATAACAAAAACGGAAAAATTCAAAATTAATCATTCCATACAGGAATAGTTAATTTCGAAGGACACAGGTATCAGAGATCTAGATGTCTTTTTGAATGCCTTGCTGTGTTTTGCAATAAAAACACACAAGCTTGAAAATATTATATTTTACTGTTTGCAGTATATAACAAGAATATCGGTAAGAGGAAGATTTTTATCAAAGGAAAACTCATACTAAGAGGAGCTGACATTACATAATAAGAACCTACATTAAAGTTTAGGCAGGAGCAACATACACAGCTCATATGAGAGATTAATGATACAAGAAACATAAACAGTACAGCACATAGAAAATTACTCTTAAAACAAAAATTTTCTGGTTTGATAAAATTCAAATATTTAAAAAATTCATGATCTGCTGCATAATCTTAAATACAATGATTAATAATTATTTTCTTAAAAGTAACTTTATCCAAATAATTTAAAGCGATGGTATTGTTCACTACTTTAATATAAAGAAAAGCTCACACCATTTTATTTATTTATTTATTTATTTATTTTTTTTAAGATTTCAAAGAAAATATGATAATTTCTGATTTTTTCTATTACCAGTTTCAACATTTGGAAGAATTGCTTTAATTTTCGTATATTTTTTTAACGTATATATAACAATAGCTGATCCATGCATATATATATCATATATGTGGAATTTAATTCATGGAATAATTAGCAATCAAAACAAAAACATGTTTGAAAAAAGATTTTTTAAAGTCACTAATGAACTGTAGCCACAGACTTAAAAAATGTAATTTTCGCAATATAGGTTTTGATTTTTCTCATAAAATTTTTTGTTTCTTAAGAAATACTTTTTTTCCCAATAATTGTTAATGATGCTGTAAAGACAACCAACCAAACATTTTTTGCTGATTCACAAAGCTGCCAATGACAAGGCAATTTTTCGTAAAGATACAGATTATCAGAAATTACCAAAAATCTTCCCAGTTCTAACAAAAACATCCATAAAAATTGAAAAGGAATAAATTGGGTTTATTAAAAAGGAATATTCATCAATAATCAGGAAAATTATGCATTTCTTTTTTCAAAGTTCCACATGATTTTAGATGCAAACAACCTTAACTTAAGACGACTCCTATAAATATGTAATAAACATTTTAAAATTCACATACTTCAACAGGATTAAATTTGATTGATTTCACCGTATCAACACCCCATGAGAGGGACCTTAGGGGTTCAGATCTTGTACCTTCCCATATCTGAACTTTTTCACCACAGGTAGCATACAATGGCTTTTTCCTATGATGACTAATGCCTGTCAAAACAGTCTAAAAAGTAAAATTTACAGTGTTACACAAGAATAATGAAAATCGCATAAAACTGGACAAGATCAGTAATTATAAAATTCTTGAATCATGCTTTACATTCGGACATATAGAAATCCTATATATTTTATAATTTACACTTTATACTTTCTCTTTCTAATAAATAAAAAAAAAAAAAAAAAAAAAAAAAAAAAAACTATCACCCTTTGTATAAATCTCAATAAAATAAGATTAATATCATGTTATTCAAGGGAAAGTAACTTTATAAATTCAGTAATTTTTAATTAAAATCCACTTAACATTAGAGATAATTTAGAATCTTAAAAAGATTTAACAAACACAAGAGCAGCCACACAATCCAAAAAAAGGAGAGTCCACAGATTTAAAATTCAACATCTTAGTAGCTATTTTATATATATCATAATATATAAAAATATCTAATGATGTCAATTCATGTTTGCTAAACCTTTATAGTTACATAACACAGCAGAATTTTCCAGTGAACTGTACACACATAACATATGAATGCCTGCACTCCATGCTTTATTTTAAATGAAAATAAACAAAATTTTGATTAAAAGAATTCAGCATGGGCAAATTTAACCTCCAACCAGCCAAGGATTTGCTATGAAACCCCAGTTTTCCCAAACCTGCCATAAAAAAAAAGAGGTTTTTTAGCCCAAAGAGACAATTTGCGCAGAAGTGCTATTAATTTCATTTTGTCATTTTGAGTTGGTTCGCTATAAATATAGGTTCACTTTTCAGATTGTTGCCATCAAATATTACAGCCCTGCATTACATTTAAAAATTAAATAATGAAGAATTTGCAGGAATGTATGTATGTTTTTTGCAATGCGAATAAATAACAGTACCTAGAGACATTAAATTCTGAATAGCATAGTCCTCCACTCAAATATGAGCATCTGGAAGCCCAAATTTGGAATTTGTTTTCTATTTCATATTTTTTAAAGCATTTAGGAGTTTTTGATTAAGAAACTGAATGATTTTAAAGCAAGCAATAGCAATACTGTACCGGGGAGGGGGAATTCATCTTCAGCGCATGAGACTGTGTATCGGAAATTCTAAGGCAGATATATTTTTTTTAAATTGTTTTGTGATGTTGCTGCTGAATGAAATTTTATAGTTTAAGTGCGAAGAACATGATATTTAATAAATAAAGGTGACATACAAAACGTTGAAGAAAAAAGCCCCTTTGGGCGCGATATAAAATATGAAAACTTTCAGATTTTTTTTTAAGCCCAAAGGACATTAGCCCAGAAAGGCTATTAATTTCGTTTTGGCATTTTGTGTTGGTTCCGTATATGTATGTTTCTCGCATTGTGATAAAACAACGGTACTTAGAGCCATCCAATTCTTAATAATGTGCGTTTCCACCCAATATGGACATCTGGAAACCCAAATTTGGAATTTGTTTTATTATCTATTTCATATTTTGTAAAACTTTAACAAATTTTTTATTAACAAACTCAGCGATTTAAAAGCGAGCAATGGCAACACTCTACAGGGGGGGGGGAACTTTTTATCTCCAGTGCGCAGAGATGTGTTTTAGAAACATTAGATTATTTAGAAGCAGGAGAGATGAAAAATTAGCAATGCTATCACTGGGAATCGAACCACGGTCCTCTGGATACGTGCCCAGCATGCAGACCACTACACCACAAAGGTATGCTAGGAAGGCGGGAGAAATACCTTATGGTGTATCATTTTAAAATTATTTTGCAATATTGCTGTTGAACTGAATTTTATGTTTTAAAAGCAAAGAACATGATATTCAATAATTAAAGGTAACACACAAAAGGTTAAAAAAGTCCCTATGGATGTAATTTAAAATATGAAACCTTTCAGATTTTTTTTTATATTTCATTTCATTTTTTTTAATGCCAAAATGCTACCTAATGCTAAAAAATACCAGGATTTATTTTGTGCCCTTAATTTCTATATACATTTGAAGATGCACAAATATCTACTCTCTTAAAGATGTTACAAAAAATAGTCTAGGCCATATATATGTTACCAGTAAAGTTTGAAATCCGGCATTCTATAGAATGATTCACAATACATTAAACGATTCATATTTCACATATTTTCCAAATGACAAATTGGCAAAGTATAAAATACATATGTAGTTCATTTCGAAGATCAGAACTACTTACCAGAAGTTAATAAAGGATGTAAAAAGGCCAAAATGATTATTAAGATGGAACCATGAGAATATTAACTACTGAATTGCTAAGATGTGATGTTTTTGGAAAACAAAATTACATTCATTTACCCTGTTAAAGAAAGTGTAAGTACTATATAGTATTACATCAAGGACACTGAGTTATTTCCTGTACTTCATGACAACATTTGAGCATTGGACACGGACAATGTGATAAAATGTTGAAAGAACTTTCAACCAAAACATTACATGTAATGATATTGAACTGTAGCCTTTGTGAGCCCTGTCAGAAAAAACAAAAAGGTGTTAAAAAGGGAACTGTTGTAAAACTTATTGGTTCTGAATTTAATTTCCGTTGTCAGGTGGATCTTATTGATTCCCAGTCTTAGCCAGATACAAGATACACATTTACTATGTTGTATCAAGATCATCTCACAATCTTTTTTTTTCCCATATTTTGAACAGTTTTTAAATTTTTTAATGGCACTCTTTCATTAATTTTTTAAAATAACATTTGTATTTTTGCGGAATGAACACCTTTTAAATAATACCCTTATCATAACCTTTTTTTCATAGTTTGCTTAAAGAACATTTATCATTCTATAGATTGCCTAATATTAAATACAATGCCTAAAAAAAGTATGCAAAAATTCTCATACTTCAGACATTGCCAAAAATTGTCCTGCATTATATACAATGCTTAGGCATTCTACAGAATGCCTGCTTTTCATACTTTGCTGGTAACATATACATGGCCTGCCTTGGTCAGAGGTTTAACAACAATTTTTCCTTATATATTAAATATTTTAAAATGAATGTTTTAACAAAAATGCACTATATTTATAACATATTTTGATTGAAAAGCAAATTTATTTTATAACTAGAATTATTTAACATTTTCTGAGTCACATAAGACCTGAAACTAAGCAATTTTTTTTTACTTTAGATAAAACCCTACTTTTGAATGCATATTTCAATGCTTTTAATATTAGTTTTGAATTTATGGGGCCAATTAATTTAAAAATCATATGGCATATTTTAAAATAAGTCGTATGTTCAGAGTTTGTCCACAACTTTTCAAACATCGTGTCCAAACTTAAATGCACTTGAAGTTAGTTGTTTATATCAACAAATAAGCTACTGATAGTGAATGCAGACAGATCTTTGGAAACAGCCCTTAAAGGTTTTTCTGGTGTTAAAAATGGAAAACAAGGTAAGTTGGAGCTAAAGAAGAGAGAAAATACTTTTTAACCTTTTAACTGCCGCGGGCATATATACACGCCTTACTCAGCCGATGCGTTAACTGCAACGGGCGTATATAAACGCCCTTTTAAAATGCTATCATTTGCTTTGCGCTGCTACCTGTAAAATTATTCGCAAAGCTTTGGAATGCAACACCACAATGACCTTGACAAAGTATGCGAAGGAATTATATATGAAAATATTTTAGAGAAGTGTGGGGAGAGATTGGAGAGAGGAATGTGTCTAAAGCGGTAAAAGTAATGACTGCGCGGTATTGGCTGGTGTTGTTTGAGTAAAACGCATATATTTTTTCTATTTTGTAGACTAGTATATGAACCAACACCTAGCAAACAAAAAATCAAGAACAGAATCGTGACATTCAACCAGTTCAAAAGAAATATATGTTTTTTTAGGCATACTGATTTCACAAGGTATAACACTGAAACCTGATATTACACTTTACTGGTCTAAAAATAAATTGATCGAATCTCCATTTTAGAGATCTTTTTTATTATAAAAACATCATTTTTCTTATACTTACATCTTTTTATTATACTTTTACTCAAACATTAGATTTTGTGCATTCATTTTTTCTTTTATTCTTTATTTTGTGAAAGTAAAACTTGCACTTATTTACCCCCTAATACATCGTATAACTACGCGCGCCTGTGTGAAAAACCGTGGCACTGGGAAATGAATCTTGTATGTTTCCGTGGCAGTTAGGGGTTAATAGAAACAAAATTTTAATTCTAATAGTTATCATCGCATTGTTAATTCAATTGCACATGCATACAATATAGTGGCAGAATTAGTGCAGAAATTTAATTTTGGAAAATCCTGAGAATTTTTTTTATATTTATTATGTGCTTCACCTTTTGACACTACATAGAAATAAAGGGACGCTTCGTTGAGGATATTTTAAGGAAGCTGTCTCCTATCTATGTTAGAAACGAAAAAAAACCCACGAAAATGCCCATGCAGCCAGAGGGTTCACTGGAACTCAAGCTCCAGACTGAAATACGAGTGTTTAGCGGCTTTTACTACTTGGCTGCCGGAGGGCCATCCTCACTATTTGGGGTTTTGTCGATAGCATAATTGGTTTTCTCTCATTTACAAGAATAAACATTACAAACATTTTCAAAATAATTCTGTTTAGTTGATATACATTTTTGGTACGAAAGTACCAAACTGCTAAGAGTGTGATTATCCACACTCCCACTAAAAAATAGCGGAAAAGCATTCACGAAGCAAAGCAGTATGTCACCCAGATAGTTATCAAAAAGTATTTGAGTGGCAACCCAGGTATAAGCATAGCACATGTTTGTTTTGGCCAATGTGCATGTTCAAGTTGTACAAATGTCAAATTTGTGCTATTATATGATGTACTTTAAGCAAAAACAGATAACTGTGTACATAGGGAAAAAAGAAGCATAGTACAGAATTCCAATAATCTGTCCTCAAGAAAGGTAAGTAATCTATAACTTATGTTTCTTGTTTTTTAAATTTAATTGACTAATTGCTCTTGTATGGAATTCCTGGTATGCAACCACTTTGAAAATGGTTTCACATTAGCTTGGTGAAAAATTAGTTTCCAAAGATTTTACAAATGTTCTCCAATGGTAACAACATGAATTTTTAATGGGGGTACAGATAACCAGCAAGTACCACTTTTTCTTTAATATGTTGATGATTTTTTTAAAAACAAACAGTTTTTTGATTCCTTGAAAAGTTTTCTTTCTCTGTTATGTACTCTTGTACTGATGTAATTGTCTCCATGTAATTATTACAGATTTAATAAAGTTATTCTTATGGTTACAGATGCATTTCAGTTAATTCTTTATGTGTGAATAATCAATAAAATATAAAAAAATAAAAGGGGAAAATGTAAACAAAACTCAAAGATGATGTAAAATCGAGAAAATTCTTGATAAAATACAAAATTTATCAGGGCTCTACTATACTAAAAAATAAAAAGAAAGAAATCTTAATTTTGGAAGCCCCATTATTTTTTTTTATTAAATTGGTATAAATAAGAAAATATAAAAATATTTGAAAGTATATTGGAAATGGAACATTAATTGTCAAAAAGCAATACTGTATAATACACTAGTGTGGAAAATTTAAGCGAACGATTTTGGTCATAAATCCACAAAAAATCAACTGGGAGACAAGAAATTCATACAACAGAGGCACAATGTTATGCCTAAAGGGTGAGGGAAGTATAGTAGCAAAAAATGAATAGGACGCATACAGTATCGAATCCACAGAAAAAGGCTTTACTGAGAGAATGGTGTTGGAACAGTCTGCCCAAAAGGAAAGACAATAAATCAAAGAGCCTTAGTAAGGGATATGACCTCTCCTAGCCACAACACTTGCACAGCACCATCTGTCAATACTCAGCAAAAGACAATCTAAAAGTTTTTGGGGTGAGTTAAGAAGCATCTGTTTCAGTTGTCTGGTGTTCTTCACAGGATTAGATTGTACTGCCAGGAATCTCCCTAACGTATTTCAAGCATGTTCAATGAAATTTAAATCGGGAAAGCACACTGGCCAATCCATTCTACTGATATCACTTTCTAAGAGTTTCTTAACAGCCTGAAACCTGTGTGGTCATGCAATGTTATCCATAAAAACAAAATTGGGACCAATGGCATCCCAGAAAAGATGCACGAAAGGATAACTTCATCACAGTAAGGATCTTCAGTAAGTGAACCTCTGTTGAAAATATATAGTTCTGTCCACTTGTTCAACATAATGCCTTCCAACATAAGCATGCCAGGACCATTAAAAACAGTCTCTTTCCTTAATGTTAGCAGGATGAAAGCATGGTCCTACCTCTCTCCAAATCAATTGCCAATGAGAATCATTACAGAGGACTCGATTCCACTGATGAGGTGCCCAGTCTGTGTTTCTTATATCGCTGTGAATGACACTGCTGATAAATTGCTGTCAATGGTATGTAGCATTAAGGACAACGGGTGGATAGGCCATCTTTATGAAGTCATCTGGCCACAGTAAATTAGGACACCTGTCATCTGGTTGCTCTGCACGTTTGCTGAGCAATATTTCCACTGTCTGGTTCTGATCTCTTTTTGCCTGCAGGTTTTTGGTTGACTTACAGCTGCACCTATTATTTGGAAGACTTAGCAAGCTTGTGAGACAATACTTTTATCAAACTCTTTGGTGACAGATGTGAAACTCCACCCTTTCTCAAGTTTGCCAATCAGTCTACCACATGTAAAGGTATCCTGATGTTTTCTTGTAGCCATACTGCATATACAATCTTACTTTCACTAGCAGAAGAATGTCTCGAAATGCATCTTCCTTTCTTTTCTTTAAAGTGTCTTGTAATGTGTGTGCTGGTTCCTTGTGTTCTGCATAGCATGACACATCCTTTGATATCATAGTGCTGATATTTAACAAGTGCATCACCTTTCTACTGAGATTGCTTTTGATTGTGCTAATTGTAAAAATATGCCCTTTAAAAAAATTTTATGGTTGCATGTTGAAAAATTAATTTGTTACTTAAATTTTGCACACTTATGTATATACCATACTCAGTTGCTAATTCTAGTTCTTGTATACACTGTCATTGACATCAAAAATAAAATCTGGAATTAACATATGGTGTTGGAACTGTATTTAATACATTATTTGATGCTTGCATATTAATGGTAAATTTATTGGAGCTTTTTCCTGTCAGTTAATAACCTCATGCATCTGCTCTGTGTTTAAAAGATTTGGTTATAAACATGACATTACCCAAGACCCATTCATCTCAAAACTGTTAAGATCAGATAAATCAGACAAGGATGAAATCAATGCCAAAATCAAGAATAAAAACAGCCTCAAAATTAGAGAACGATTGAAATCACCACCAAACTATGTTGCAACAGAGATCTTTCTTTCAAAATTCCACACACCTGAACCACAATTTTGAAAGCAGCAACCCTGTGAAAACTAACAAAAGATGAGGAACATGATGAAGCTATTCCAGCTCCAGATAGCAAATCAGAGAGATCTGTGAAAGCTCCGGTACTTTTATTTTATCTGTGTTTAAACATGGTTCCGGTGTATCAAACTAAAGTATTTCATCGGGTTTCTAATTTCATTTTAACCATGAGTGACAATTTATTTTTAAATATTTGAAAAATTATGAATGCTGCGTAATGTTACAAATAAGATGATATAATTTTTTCAAGATTTCTAACATTTGTTTTACAAAGTAAAGATGAATCAACTTAACATATTCATAAATGCCAAAGAGTATACCTGTAAAAGGAAGGGGGCATTCTAATAGTATCTAAAGAATCTAATCTAATTTCCTATAATTACTGTTTTGTAAGTGTGATGTTTTTAAAAAACATCTTTTTTAATTGTTATTTCGTTGAAGACGTATATACAAATAGTTTCTTCCCCTCCTTTTTTTCTTTTTAGACATTTTTTTTAAAAAAACTTTCTTTTCTTATTCTCTTAGAAAATTGAAATGCTTTCTGGCACAGCATATTTCTAATCCTGTCCCCGCACATCAATAACGTCAGCATGCAAGTGTCAAAGAAATAGACTAATTTCATGAAGATCTTTTCTTGGTGATTTACATTTCTTTTTATTTTAACTTGTAATATATTCTTCTTAAACTTCAATAGCTTGGAATTTTTTTAATTAGCTTTCTTTGAATATTTAGTACTGCAAGACTGATGTTTAAAGTGGTTTACTCCTGAAGATCTAATATAATAATAATAATTTCATTAACAGCAGATAGAATTTATTCGAGTTCGAATTTTATAAAGCCTAATATAACTGGCAAATGAATTAAACAAAAATATGCTATTAAGGGGATTCGCCTATTATTAATACCAAAATCTTTTTGGAAGATAAATTTTTAAAGGAACATCACCTAACATTTTAAAATATACATAAAACTGATCTTTTTATATTAATGCTACATAAGAATTTTGATATTTTTCTGTTAATGCTGCACCAGTTGCCAAATGTGGTGATCAATTGATATCACACAGTGAACAACTGTGCAATGATAATATATATAAATTAGTTATTCTTTTCATGAAGCATAGTTATTCTTTCATTAGGATTTCCAATATCTATTTAGAATTTTTGCCATGTTTATATTTGTTGCTAAGTGGCTTCCTATTAACAGAAAAGTGCAAAACATTTAATTATTTTAGAACCAACAGAGATTCATAAAAACAGAAATAACTCGGATTATACATAGCTCGGTTTCCCAAACTTACACACAATGCTTTTTTATTATAGCAATACAAAACACATTATTTTAAATTCTGAGTGTCATAAATTAATTATATGTGATCAAAATCTTTTAGAATACAAAAACAATAAATAGCTGAAAATACAATATTTTAAGGGGAAGATAAGTTTTGCTAAACTAATTGACTCTCAACAGTTGACTAAGATTTAGAACTAGATCATAAATCGTTTTTAAGATAGTTAGAAGAAAGACAAAAATATGAAAATTCACCCATCTGTATGCAGTCTTTTCCTAACATATTTCACAAACATCAACTTGGATGTTATCTTTGCTGATTTCACCTTTAAAATAATTAATACTTTAATTCTTAGTTTTGATTTCTGAAGAAATACTTCTCAAGCAAAACTTAAATTCTCCTGAAAATGATTAAAAGTGGTTGCAGTATATCAATACTGTTACAATGAAGACAGGACTAATCAATAAAAATGTAGTTCTTTAACAAAAATGATGGGATTTGCAAAAATGCAATATCAACTACTTAACATTTAATATACAGAAGATTCTTTACAAGTGTCCAAAATATTACTTCATTGTTAAAAAAAAACTAAATATTCAGCATAAACTCCCCTTTCACAGAAATGAATTGTTTAGTAAATTATAACTCACTTTAGAGATAATACTCTCTACAGGTTCTGTTAATGCTGGTTCTTCCAGGCTCCAATGTTTGATCACTTTGTCATCACCAACCTGAAAAATAGAATCTGATTATGAATGCACAGTATTCTAAAATTATACATCTAAAACAGAATAAAAATTAACAGCAATTGCAGCTTTGTTTAAATTTTGATTTTCCAGAAAACAGAATATAGATGTTATTCTATTATGAAGAGTATTGCTTAGGATAAATCATGTATACTATTTTTAAACTACTACTTTCTAATACAGAATATGTAAGTAAACTTATATTGATTAATTTTTAGTTCTAAATTTAGAACTACAAATTAATCAAATTGCTGTATGAGACAGGTGCAGCAAATGTGAATTTAAAAGTTGATGATTTAAAGGCAAAGGATATTACAGCATTAACTAATCTAGATTCGACTCAGGTAGTTGATTTATTGGTTGGATGAACATTGTTAGATTTACTGTACATTGTGTACAACAATTAGCAATGCCTTGTGTATCGGCTATGCAAAAAGATTATCTATTCATTGGGTTAGATCGCATTGAAGAAAGTACACATAATAAAGGAAAAAATTTCAAAGGCAAACTTAATCCTTTAAAATAAAATTCACAAAATAAAGAAGGTGTAAAAAACAAACAACAAAATCAAAAACAAAGTGGGTAGAATATTGATGAAACTGGGAAAAATAAACTTGATCAGTTAAAACAAGGTTTATAAAAAAGTGCTGAACAAGCAAAAGAGAAAACACCGACAAAAAGTGCAGAAATACCCATAGAAAAGAAATGAAGTCAGAGAAAACTCTAAAAACTGATTGCATGGGGAGAGCTTTCACAGAAGGGATCTTGATGATGAGGCCAAAAAAAGGTGTTAGAAAGAGATGTCTGAACCATCTATCTAGGAATTTTACCTAATGATATCACTGTAGACAAAATCAAAGTTTTGTCTGCTGCTAAAAAAACAAAGAAATGGAAAGTTTTATTTAAATATATATATTAAAAATAATCTAATGAAATTATTTGTCTCTTGCATTCCAGACAATACTATTATTTCTCGAATTGCAGAATTCTTTCCAAAGGCATATCCGATAACAATGAATTCATCCCCTAGACATTAAAACGCTACCATAAGCAACACACAGAAAAAAGATGCAACTGAAGCTTTTGAGGCAGAAAAGAATGTTGAAGTAGCTGGAAAAAAATATATTGTTTTATATTCTTTAGCTGCTACATGCCCAAAGAAAGGCTGGGGAAGGAGCTGGAAGAACAAGCCAAGAAGGAATAAAAGAACTCTAAAAGAAAATTAAATTAGAGACATAGTGGGATGATGATGAAAACAACAATGACAGTGATTAGTTTCTTTATCAAGGGAAGGTTTCAATATATCACTGATACTGCATTAAACAGTGCATTGCATAATGTTCAAAACTCCATTATGCAGTGAATTAGTAAATGATCATTTTCATTAAAATTAACTGTAAAATAAAATCAAGGACAATTTAGTCAGGATGTTTGAATGTTAGCAATTTGTTAAATTCACCATCAAGTAGTGTCATGATCATTATATGAGTAGTGGTAATAATGTAAACACAAGAGATAAAATGCAACCATGAGTAATGTAAATGTGAGGGATGAAATGTATTAAAAAAATAAAGTACTTGTTGTTTTGTACACTGAATTTTACCCAAGTGAATAACTAAAATGATACACATAGTGGATACATGGGGGGAAAAGTGCAAAGTCCACACCAATATGTTAAACCTCAAATTAAATTTACTGAAGTTTAACAGTGTGAACACAAGTAAATGTATACACACTTTACATTTCATACTTCTATTAATTTAGCAATTTTTGTTTTAAATATTTTTTTTTTTGAAAATCATATAAATAATACTAATTCCCTTATAAAACAAAAATGCATAACAGTGTGAACATACATAAACTTACATATACTTCTCATTTTGAGTTTTGTTTTTAAAAATAAAACTAAAATTTAACTGCCTTTTACTTTGAAAATGATATAAATAATCCTAATTTCTCATACAGAGGAGAAAATACAAAACACTGCAACTAACAACAATATAAATCAATACTGAACAAAGACTTACTGTGAGTAAATGGTCACCATTTGTTGACATGCAAAGTCCACGTACAATGCCATCATGAGCTTGAACTGCATTAACACACTTTTGTGTTGCAACATTCCACATTCGTACCTGTAAATATGAATAATGTAAACATAAGTATAATTTAGAAATAATGAAAAAATATTATAATGGTTTTAAAAGACAATGCAACTGTTATAAAAAGTTTTTTCACTAATTGCCATATATTTTAAAAGGTAAAATTGTTAATTTTAATACAGCAATTTATATACATTGATACAAAATAATCTTTAGTGTATAAATATGGAACAGGATGTTTAAAAAGTGAGCTTCTAAGTAAATTTCTGGCCATTAAAATTACCACACAATGAAGGCAGCATGCAACAAATGTTATATTTACATAAAAGGTACTTACTACATGCTGGGATAGGCATATGATTTCAATGCATGAGCAAGCAGATATGAGTAATGCCACTTGCATGTGCTAATGTATGCTACCTCGATCTAGTTTAAAAAGAAGTTTATTAAATACTAAACAAATTAATCTAATCTAGAATCTATTTAATATCTCATCAGCAATGCTATCAAAACAAATTAAAAATCAAGTTGGGATTGTTGCCATTCCGAGACAGAAAAATTTCTATTCAAGCCGGAACACCACCTACATTGCGTATAAATGGGAAGACAACAAAGCAGATTTGGAAATTGCATTTGAAAGTTGATTGTTTGTGTAAATTTATGTTATGCCTCATGTAAGAAAGAAACTCCAGTAAGTGTTGGAATTCAACCACAGCAGGACCGTGGCCTGCCGGGACTGTTTTATATCCTTCTGAGACACTGCTGTTCATGTTGGTCAGGATACCATAACTGTCACATGAATACAGAATGAATGAAAGTAGGCAGGCTTTACTAAATACCAAGGCGGACCTCAACAGCCCTGGGCCACCAATGCCCAAGAGGACAGACATGTTGTCATCTCGGCCTAGCGGGATTGTACGGCCACATCACGTGTCCTATATCAGGAACTTAGCTTGTCTACAGGATGACAGTATGATAATGCCTGCAACTGTACTGCAGTGTATACAAACGATTTTCATACTGAAGTTTTTAAAATTTATAAGTGATTGTTAAGAGATCAAATTACAGCAAAATTGGATTGATGGATTTATTTTAATATAATTATCACACTTCATCATCAAAATTAGCTAATTTAATCACCCAATATTTAATATGCAAACTTCAGTTACCTATGATTCTAGATGTAATGACCACTTGTACAGAGTTTGTTTGCACATTTTTTAGACAATTTTCATTGCATATTTTAAATGTTCTATTTGAAAACCCTTTTTCTTCGCTGTCTTTCTAAACAATAATTTCCAAGACAATAAAGCCTTTTGTAGTATCGAAAGTAATAGTTCATCCCATTCCTCTTGAACAGCTACCCAAAGTCCAAAGAGGGTGGTAGGTCAATAATTGTACAATCCGCTTTTCAAAAGTCCAAAAGAACAAAAATCCATGGGGGATATATTAAGAGATTTAGTAGAGATACAAGTGAAAAGTATGTCTTTGAACCAGTTTCTTGATCCTTTTCCCCAAGAAATTATCAGCGGAATTTGATGTGTGGCTGCTTGCTTTGTTTTGATGCAGTTCTACTGATAAACGTCACTGTGGGTAAAGAGAAGATATTTCATATTTGAAAATTGGGTATAAAATATGCCCCTCATAATACACAGAGCTAATCTTAAAATTTTTCTCCACTCTCCTTATTTTTAATTTGCCCTTTTATAAAGACAAATGTTTTTTATAAATAAAAATAATATAGCTTTTTTATAAATAGAAAACTTCCTTTAGATTCTTTAAACCATGCTTTAAGATTTTTTCCTTCCTCTTTCTTGCATTCAGCAATATATCGTAGAGAAAGACTAGACACATCATGTTTTTTCACCTTTTTAAAATTCAAATTAGCATTAATCACTTTGCTTACAACTGACACTGAGCATTTTAATGATTCTGTAACTGTCCTTTTACTTGACATATTTTCTTTTAAAATTAAATGTCTTACCTTTGCAACATTCGACACATTACATTTTTTCCATTGGATATGCATTTGGAACAATTTTCCGCTAGAGACTCTGATGTTTTCCCCTTTCTTCTTGTTGATAATGTTATCTATCATAGCTTCAGATACCACAAAAGCATGGTTTTCACAGTATTTTTTAATAACTAATTATGAATAACTTTCTTTGAAAATAGCATAAACATAGCTTTCTTTCTGTCCATTGCTTCTTTGAAAGTGCCATTTTGCATGAAAATAAAACTGTCAAGTAGTAGATGATAATTTATGCTTTAAAAAATACAGTTGAAGTTAAAAAAAATTCCAAGCAGATGATTTTTTTTTTAACAGCAAAGCAAAATTGTCTAAAAAGCATGTGAACAACCTCTGCGTCACATGCATGTGAACCAGTAGCATTGTCTAAAAAGCATGTGAACCAGTAGGTTTCTTAAATCAGTAGCTTTAAGAAACCTACTGGTACTCTCTGATTATCCGCCCAATCTCAACAAGATTTACCGGGCAAATCGCTATGTTGACATAGTAGGCAAACAAGAATTTCATGAAAATATAATCTGGCAATCCACTAATGGCTCTTCACGTATTATTCGTTGGTGTAATGTATGCAGTTTTAAAATTCGAGAATCATGTGGTTGTTTGTTTCCTGTCATTGTGTGAAGTTGTTTTTCTTGTAATAAAATGTAATGCCACTGTGAAGTTTACATGCTAATGAAAGAAAAGTGTTGCCTTTTTTCAGAAATACAGGATTTTGCCTAGTAGTAAACAGCATAGGAATGCATATTCAATGAAGTTGTGCAATTCTCTGATGATTTTTTAAATTCAAAACAGGTTGATGTGTTCATAGAGAGCAGTGCAAAATTGCTCTGTGATGTTGAGAAATCTGCAATTTTTACCTTCTGCAAATCTATGTACATTAGTAAGGAATTTAATATTTTCAGACCAAAAATTAGGCAGTGAGCTATCAGCGAATAAGCACAAATTAAGATCCCCACATTCCTACTTACGTCCTCCCTTCCAGTTGCCCTTAAGTTTTCATTCAGATGGTGCTATAAATGCCATTTGGATTCTTCTTTATAGTCATAAGGCTTAAAATATTGGAGATCCGTTCACACTTGTGAGACAGGGTCTAAGACATAGCCAATTAGAAAAGCTAAATTTGTGCATGCGTGGATGTGTCTACCACTTAAACACTCTGTTTTTCTACTAAACAGGTTTCATGCGCTCTCTCTGATTGGGCGACTCTTATACTAAGTCTGCATAAGGTTGAAAATTTTGAACTTAGTGCCAAAATCCCTAAACGAGTTTTTATGATGTAGCAAGGTCCAGTTACCTAGCAATGAAGTTTGGTTTAAACCAGCTATGACATTTATACCACTGTATAAACACAGCTTTATATCCCGGAATATATCGTACTAATAGTTTTTCTTCTATTATTACACATATTGATGCAGCATAAAATGTTTGCATGATCTTTTGCTATTTTACAATCTTTTAAACATTCAGTTAAAAAAAAAAAAAAAAAAAAATGCATTTCGGAGCAATTCATGATACTATAGATCTTTTTGTCAGTATTGTAAATGTTTCCAAAACATTATGTTTTAGACAGTTTAGGCCATTCATTTGAAAATCATGTTTCTGTAGAGCCAAATGGAATGCACAATCAGCAAAATCAAAGTGCAGATAAATTACTTATAGTCAAATTTTTAATTCAGATCAGTTCCTAATGGCAGAAGAAATCAACCGTGTATCATGAAAAATCACTTGTGACTTGATCTGCGATCAAATATCAATGATGACCATTGCACAAGGACATATAAAACAAATCAACTTATTCTTTACATTCACCAATTCTCACACTTAAAATACGAATGGGAGAGGGGGCAATTACCAGTCACGCTCATCATGCTGTTGACAAATTATTCACTACATTTTATTTTAGGTGTTACAATAGAAAATTTTGAGATTTTATGAATAAGAATCTTGTAAAACACCAGACCATAATGTGAATCTTGTAATTGCAGGCTGGATAAACACTACACCACAAAGGCACACAAAAGAAACATTGGTTCTTTCTAGTTAACCACAACCCCACCCAAAAACTACAAACTTGTTACTGACTTTGGACAGCATTCACAAACTCATTGGTAACAAATGTTTGTTTACTTTTACCTCCATTTCAACAACGTATCCAACACCACTTATATTTTTACATTCCTCTTCTTTCATACAAGACACACACACTTCACAGTTTTTTGCACTGTTATTGTCCCCATGTACACAGTGATTTGTTTTCATTAAAAAAAAAAAAAAAGAGAGAGAGAATAGCACAAACTCGACACTAAACCCTAAACTAGACAGAAAAAAGAGGTGTATGTTGCCTTTAAAATAGCCACATTATGCTATGCATACAGAAAGTTAAATATGAGATTTTGAAGATGACAAAAGCTATAGTATGCAAAGTATGAGATTTGAAGATGACAAAAGCTATAGTATGCAGTCCACCACCAAAATATGCTCACTAAGTTATGTTGAGACCAATGATTTAATTATTTATGTTAATTAAATACAAATGAACACAAAAACCCACTTCTGTGCATTCGTTAGCGCCAGAAATACGCAAATTTGGTGATTGACAATGTGGTACGCAATGAACGCATTTTGGAATTCCATTTTAAAGTGAATGTGATTTCTGAGAGTGATCAGTATTCAATAGCTATGGCTCAAAGGCATCATTTAAGTGAAGGTCAAAACTTGTAAATAATTGGTAGAATCGAGGAAGGTCAAACACAAATGGAGGTCACCTCAAGTTTGAATATCCTTCAAAGTGTCATATCAAGAGTTTGAAGCCATTTTTAAGAATTGGATCACTTGATAAGGCCCATTTAAACTCATGCCATCACCATGTTCAATGAAGCCAAAGCTACTGGGGCCATGTTATTTACTAACGACTTCAGACATAATTATGATAGTGACTCTAGACGTGTTTTTATCAGGAGAGAGGGAGGAACACACAACTTGCTTACTCTTGTCCGTGAACTAT